TTTGCATCTAATGTTACAATGCTGTGTGAACCGCAAAACAAACTAACATGATTCTCCATTGTTCCATTCGCCTCCAAACCTGGACCATCGCTGTCTCTTTATTATTAGAAGTAAGTTTGAAAAATACATCATTTGGAGAAAACATCCCTTAAACCATTATTTAAAGACAAACACGTTTTACTTTAATATACTGCAGATGATATGAATAGCTTGGTTAAAATCTCAATCAGAACACTCTGTAATTAAAAAAAGCAACACAGTGTAACAGGGATCTAATGGCTTCATTTAGCAAAATGGTTATAATCAACAGATAACATGGGAGTGTACTAACTGATCAGCAATCAAAACAATTACTTAATGTTGGTCTGGATCCAGCTTAAATTCTCAGATTTCTCCTGCCTGCAAAGCTTGATGGAAAGAAAGAAACCCACCAAACTTTGCTTCATTCACTTCCCTAATCTGGAAATAAAGAAAAAAAGACAACATGTATGATATGTCACAAGAAAAACACGTTTGTGAATAAACACCTAAACTATAAATCCACTAAAAACATCCTGACAGATGCACTCACCATCAGGGATGAGGGTCTTCTGCATCAGCATAGGTGCAAAACCCATACGACGAGGAATCCCTGAGGATAAAATAACAAGGTGAGACATGTACATTCTACAAATGCAGAGATTAATCAAAAGTCCTTCAATCTACGTCTCCTACCTGTCTGACATTGGGGGCGGCCGCGCATCTGGGTGCCCTCGACGGTCCTGCCCTCTGAGTCCACACACCAGCAGTAGCCAGTGCCGTGCCAGCACTGCATGGGCAGGTAGTTCCCGCGCTCGTCACACTGGGGCTTGTAGAAGCCGACCTTGGCCTCTCCAAGATCTGCCTTGATCTGACACTTGGTCTTGATGACAGTGACTGAGGGATGAAAAGAGAACAGGAAGACATTAAGGACCAGTTCAAGTTTAATTACTGGTGACTGCAGCAAAGTAGTGCTACATTTTGGGAAGTACGTTTCTGTGCTTTTGGCCAAGAGTTAGATAGGAAGAATGATTTCACTTGTATCTGAATCGGGTATTGATATTTTTCTGCAATTCCCAGCCAAAAAGTAATTAAGTAATTGTCCAACTATACATTTAAGGAAAATCTAAGACTTTGCTTCAAGTTCCATAATGAGAAATGTAGGACTTGTGATAAAAAAGGTGGATTTACTCTTTGCACAATACAAAAATCTCTCCTATAACTGCTCCTTAAAAATTACAATAGCAAAAGTAATATTGGGTATGGAATCGTAAGCTTTTTGCACCAAAATAGAAAAATAAAAGTAACAGTTCTTGTAAACTCAGAAGCTTCACTTCTCAGCAAATGGCTTTTTCATTGATATTGCCACAGTATTGTGTCACATCCATCCTTTACTGGAAATAAAGGAAAAACAGCATCTACTGTTACTCCTGTGTGGATCAGAGCCTTCGCTAAACACTACAATGTGAAGGGAAGTAAAGGTGAGTAACCTGGCTTAGCGGATGGGGGTGCAGGCTCCTTCTGGGCCATCTGGAAGATCAGCCAGTAACGCATCCAGGACTCAAAGCTCTGCAGAGAGCAAAATGCAAAAATACAATAAATAATGATGATTTTATTCAATGAAAGTATTGGAAGTCTTCTCCATTTAAATGTGTGTGAAGCTCTACCGTCCACTCGCTCTCGTTCACATGCTGCTTCATGCTCTGCAGGTTGGCCAGGAAAGTCTCGTTGAACTGCGGCAGCTGGGGGTTCTGCTCCAATCATTTAGAGCGTACGTTTAGAGGATAGCTTTTTTTACAGCTTCAGAACACAGCATTAACAATGTGTCGACAAACAGGAAACACAGTGCAACAAACCTGCATGAGATCCTTCAGCTGAGTCTCCATGCTGGAAACAGTGTCCTGAAGTTTCTGATGGGAGGGAACAGAGTATTTCAATATTTTCGCTTGAAATAATGTTGAAATATTTTCATTCATTATACAACATTAGGTGAAGGGATGTGTCAATGTACACCTAATATGGTCTATTCATGTTGTATTTGATAGGAGGTAAAAGTAAACCTACAGTCAGGGGTGTCTTGGCTTCCACTTCTGAAGTGAAGTCCGTCAGCAGAGGAAAGCTGCTCATTGGCATCTGCATCTTTATTGGGGCTAGAGGTGAGAACAAACAAAAGAACAAACTCAAAAATAAAGGCCACATGAAAAAATTCAGGAGGAGAAGCATTGCTCGCTATTACTGATTTTGTTGAAAACAAACAAATAGCAAATAATATCAGAAATTCTAAAATTACAAATCTAATGAAAACCGTAAAGGCTCCACAGAATTAAAAATAGATATGAATAGAAAGTGGTTGAAATTATAAAACTGAAGGCAACACGTAATTTTTATGTTGAATGCTGGAAAATACATGTTATTATCACCAACATTTCACGCTGCTTGACATTAAAAGATCAACATTAGAATAGTAAACAACTGAATCATGAGGACACTTTCATTTCTCTTTCTAACTTTTAGATCAAGTTCCTTCAAGTCAGCTTTCACTTCCCTGTCCCCTCATTGTTTCTATTCCTCATGTCTGACTGAGGCTATGATTCGTTACTGACACATTTCTACTTGTTCCCCTCTATCTGATCATTAGGATTTTGATGCTTGCTTTTACCCTTGAGTGGGCGGGACAGCTGTTTGTCTAATCTCTCAGAGCTTTTCGTCAGAGAGTGGATCTGCTGCTTCTGGTCGAACACCATGTAGGCAGTGAAGACCTGGCTGGCCAGCAGAAGACAGGCCAGGGTCGTCAGGCCAGCCACCTTCAAGGCACGTTTGTTGGAGCTCCTGAGAATACATGAAAATAAATGTGAGGATAAGGCAAACGGGGTGAGGGGATAATATGCCAAACAGCCACATTCAGATTAACTAAAAGTGACAGGACTTTTAAACAAAAGCTTCGTAACAAATGCAAATATCCCCTGTGGGGCGAATAAAGGTATTCTGATTTGGAAGGTATTTAAGTTACTTGAAGGGGTTTCTCGAAAGTGCTTTTTGGACTTTCCGTCACAAAAAAAGCCCAATATGTCAAACAACATTCTTGTTATTATACATATTCTAAAGAAAGGAAAATATCAAACATAATTTCTTTTAATAGTAATAATTAAGTATAAAATATAAGTCCTCTGACACATACAGTCAGCCTTTGTGTCTGCTGCTCATAGTATGCCAATAAAGAGTGGGCATCACTTGTTACCAGGCAGACCTTTTTACTGGAGTTATAGGGAAGTACAAATCCAACTAAAAGTTAGAGCCTAGATGTGAAAAAAAAGTGTTCAGTGTCTCATAAAAGGGTCTCAACAAAGCATATGCCTATTTTATAATAAGTTATGCTAGAAAAAAAAGTAAAACTATGACCTAGAAACTCAAGGTAGTATGTAAACAATATCTATAGGTGGTTACTGTATGTTAAGAGAATAGGACAGAGTTCAAATATTTTTCAGAGACAATAATTACATTCATAAATCATTCGTTTCTTAGTTAAAATCTCCAACATTGTCCAATGTTTATCTGCTGTGGTTAATTGTGAACCAATAGCATGGCAGCATCATCTGTTACTAGGTAGACGCCTTCTGTAAAGTGACCGATGTCCGATTGCAATTTACTAAATATGGTTTACATGTATAATTATATTATAAGAAAGCATTTAAAATGTTGGAAATAAATTACTTTAACACACTTATTTCATGAGGATATCTGCTGCTAAGAAAAAGACGACACTTGAATTCAATTCACAATTTTTTAATGAATCTGTAGAGACTCGCTCTTATAATTAGAATTGTGTTATACTGCATAAAAGACAACTTTATTAGCACACATTAGGATGTGGTGGTACTACTTTGCAAACTGTTATAAAGATTGTAACGTTTATGAGACAGATTACTCTCACCTTGCGGGAACTTCGGGGATAACGAGGACTTCTTCACTGCCAGCCATACTCCCTGTGGCCAGGGGGGACTCTTCTGCATGATCGGCCATCTCTCTTGGAAGTTGGTCTCTTTCTTGTCCTTCAAAGCAACACACTAAAGAAAGTGGGACCCGTGCTGTAGATAAATGATCTTAGAAATGAGGAAGGACAAGTTCTGCGGAAAGGTGCAGGGTAGCGGGAAGTCCCCGTTTAAAAGCGCTGTGGGATGGCTCGGTTGTTCTGTGAGGGAGCGGCTTGTGATAGGTCAATTAAAGCCCCATCACTTGTTGTTAGTGGCAGAATAGTGGAGAAGTTTCGTTTCAAACCCTAACCCTTGTGCCAGAAATGTCACCTAACTGGTTTTACTGTATGATTATGTTCCGATTAAAAGCTCGCACAGTCTGTTGAGTTAATAAACGCTTAATATTAACACGTAGTTTACCTAACAATAACATTTGATGCCATTTGCTTATTATTTATAGATAGTAAGAAAGAGCAAACATCAATATAGAAGTATTAATACTACCTCAATTACCAACAACAATTCAATTTATTAAAACTGAAATAAAGGGTTATCAGTAGCAACCATGGGAATTGTGTATAAGGTATATGCAAGTATTTTTACTTTTATGTTTTATCATTTGCCTAATGTAATGCAGCATTCTATTTATGGTCATGCACTTCCTAGAACACCAGACTGCTTCTCTTGTACATGAATGCTGTCTTTTAAGGAACTGAACATAAATGAACCATGTTAATATATCTTGGCTTAATTTATACATCAGGAAAAAACCAAAAGTGCATTTTGTTAGAGAACAGGCCTTTGATTTGTGGTATTTTCAGAGAGAAATAAAAAAAACCCAATAAAGTGAAACCAAAAGACAAACCAATCTTCAAGAAATCTCTGCACAAAAGCAACAACCATTATCCTAGTTGAGTTGAATTTAAAGTCATCGTTCACTAAATTATATTGAGAAAATATTAATGAACAGAGAGAAATTCAACTGAAAAAAAGAGAGCAAAGTATATAGCATATATTGAAAAATACAGTGGTGTTTTATTTGCAAATTAAAAAGCACCGACAATATTAGTTACACTGTAAAAATTATTGACAACAATTACAAATCTTTATCATACAGTCCAGGAGATTAGTACCATCATTGCTGTTATGTGTTATCACGTAATACTTTATATGGAGAGACTCAGTACCTGTGTACAACGGTTGGCAGTGAGAGGAATGAGAGGAAACAATCTTAGCGACACACCTCCGCATGATGACGTCATCCAAACTCCCCTCAGTACAGCACTGACATTTCACACAATGGGAATGGGCTGATGGAGAGTGTAAACCCAAACACATTCAATAATTTAGGTCTACTGAAGGTTGCGTATACTATGTACATTACAAAGTCAGGAAATAAAGGACCACCATGTGCGTTATTACATCAGAACATTGTACAAAACTATTGCAATAAGAGCAGCTTTTTGTTATCTATGCTTGACATCTAGTTGCAGTGGTAACACCTCGATCGACAACCAAACGTCTGTATGGTCTCACTGGGCAACTGTTGGTTCGCCTGGCAACTTTTCCCAGAGACAGCTTCTTTCCCCCAATCTTAAAAACTCAACTAATAAATGAAATGAAACAAAATATAAAGACAAAATATACAGTTCTGACGTAAAATACAAATTAAAAGTATCAAATGCTGAAAAAGGATTTGAAATGCACAACCTTGTTCTGTACACTATCTGACCAGAGTGTTATTAAACATACAGTAGCTAGCTTATGATCTTCTTCACATGTTGTAGGAGAATCCTTTTTATAAATGTGCTTTCCATTAACCTGTATGTTTAGAATCCATGTTCCTTAAATATTGTGCTTTCAACATCTAAACAGTTCCTGCTTGAGCCAATTTAACGGTCATGGAACTGACTACAAAAGGCCGAACAGTTTAACAAACCAGTCTTCTGTAGATCTGTCCTTATGAGAGAACTGAGCTAAGATTTAGTTTTGGTACATTCTATAATAATGCATTGCAGTCAGCATTGTAGAAATGTTAAAATAAAATCTGAGAAATGAAATGAAAAAAAAAAAACGTTGCAAAGAAAAATAACCCCCAATCGTCCATGTGGTGATATTCTGATCCGTCCTGGCACTTGTAAATGCAATAACTAGATTCTACCAAGGCCTATTGAGTAAGGCTACAACATGCAGCCTGAGTCAAGACTCCAGATGTCCCGTTCTCCTCTCAAACAAACACTTACTTATGTCAAAGGCATTTGGAATCAATGTCTCTCTGTCGGTCAGGCTGTCAACTATTAAAGTCAATGTTATGTTGCCTGTTTTAATCCAAACACACCAAAACTCATAGCTGGAGACAAGGGTGATTTTGTGTTCATCTCTTCCACCAGTATCTTTCTCCTTTCTTTGATTTTCATGCAAAGAAGAGGTTTGAGTAGAGCAGGGATGTGATTATCAAACATTGAAGGTCCCTCCTCCTGTGCATCGCTGAGCCTTTCCTTCTTCTGCAGGACACGGCGGTGGCCATCTTTCAGGTGTCCATGCTCCTGGTGTGTCCTGCAGGGGAGCAACAGCTTCTCGATGCCCGGGGAGAGAGGAGCGCCATCAGCTGCGCAAAGCAACAACGCTCTCTTTCTGCTCATCATCCACTTGGGAAGATCACAGTTAAGATTTGAGTTCTGGTTGGGCATCCCATCCTTACATTTTGACATATTTCAGACTCTTTCAAAACTATTTGGGGATCTTCAACATTGCAGGCCACTTGACCAGAGTCCCTTTGGCAGGGTGGAGTTCAGTGTGGAGCTGTGGTCTCCCCCTGGGGGGCTGCTACCTGGTGTGGACCAGCTCTTCTCGGAGCCAGCTGGGCAGCGGCTGACCCATCCTGTAGAGCAGCTTGGACAGCTCAATGTTGTGATCCCTATAGTACTCCCTGAGGAAGCCCTGGGACTGAGGGAGACACAAGGAGGTCAATGATTAGGATACATATTTACATTTATGATCAAGAATTATGAAAATGTAAGGTTACATTAACAGTACAATGTATTTCTTAGAGCATAGTTTTTTGCAAACGATCGTACCTCATGGTCCATGTCAGGGTACCTGCGACCTTTACTCTTTCCTAAACATTTGGTCTTCCCTCCCTCCAGCAGCTGACACCAGAATCCTTTCTTAGGGTCGAACCTGTACATATGAGATGTATAATGAATGTGTTGTGAACTACAGAATACTTCCTTTAGAGTTTAAATCTACAATTATGAAACACAACATTTCTAAGTTTTAAAAATGGGAAGAAAATCCTTGCAACAGATGGTGGTTTGTACAACAAAACTATTCCTGCCAGAAAGAAAATTATTTTTTACATATTGGCCTTATTTGATTCTCTGAAGTTTTGAAACTAAAGCAAAGCAGACAGAATACTACTAATGTCAGTTGAAGTAGAGAGCTATTAATCAATGTAATTATAAATTAATTTTTAAACATGCTGTTAAAGTGAAGCATCTACTCACGCTAGGATCTTGTGGTAGTTGATGACGTTGACCAGGGACAGATACTTCTGGATTTTATCCATGATTGAAGCAGGCTCAGTCTTCAGCATCTGCCCATCCAAGACTAACAACTGGGGGAGAAACACAAACAGCGCCAAATGTCAGATGGGTTGCAGGACAGTCTTGTATGTGAACCACTGTGAAACAACCTCTCATCCTTATCCAAGTACCCAATCCAATGCAAATGGACCAAATTGAAAAACACACATTTATTTGTGACCATACTGTCTGCCTGATGCCTGAAATAGATACTTTTTTAATAGATAAATGATCACATCTTTCTTAAGAAATAATGACCACATGTCAGGGTATCATAGATTTGGTCAATTTGAAGCAACAATAGCTTTATTTTTATTCAAACTGTCCCTAAAGGGCAGACTTCTTCTCTTATGGTCAAGTGGATTTAACACACTGCCTGTAAGGACTGAGCAAAAGAGATGAAAACACCTTCACCCAAAACCATTCTGGAAAAAAATACCTTCCGGCCACCCATAAAGTGTCTGTGTGATTTACACAGACAAAGGGAAAAGGTTTCACACCCAGATCTGAGCTAGCTTGGCTGTTCACTGCATATTGCACACCACCATGAGCAGGAATACTCCCTCAGTACCTGGCTGGAGTGGTAGTGGTTGAGCCAGCGCTCCAGGTGGATGGCGTACCAGCCTGGCACCAGACAGCGATTCTGCAGGACCCGTAGTTTGACTGGAGACTCGTGGCTTGCGGTGATGACGTCGCGGAAGGAGTATTTCAACGCCACCGGGTCATCGTGGGCTCTTTGGTGCTGAGGGTATACAGAGAAGGAAGGAGGATGAGTCTTGAATAAATTCATAATAATATTACAATGGTGATCATGCAGAAATGAACACAGCAGTTTTCAAAGTGCATTAAAAAGAGTTAACCCTCTGAACACCACAACCTGCAAGGGGGTTTACAAGTTAGCCAGAAACTGTAAATCAGAAATAATTAAGCAAATCTAAGCTTTAAAAAAAAGAAGTAATAATTCATCAAGATCCCCTTATCCTATATGTCTCATTTAAAAAGTTGGCAGTGAACAGAACCTGTGAAGTAAATGTGGGCTCCTCAGCGCAACTTGGGGGCCCGAAATGACACAGCTGAGACCATAACAGTCAAAAATCAACATTCATTAGAAAAAATGATTGACATTCATTGAAATATGTATAGCAAATTAAACTCCCATTTTATTTTGGTAACACTTGTGGGCACTTAGACATTCTTTGTATTCGTGGATTCCAGTCCCCCACCCATTCTTCTGAAATAAACTGAAATTCTACTTGCAAGTCTTTCTTTTTTTCTGATTTATGGGATTATAATTGTTTTATACTGCATTAAAGACATGTTTGAGTTGGCTCTTTTTCTCATTAGGATTAGGCTGTTTTCATTGCAGTCAGGACTTAAATATGGCAGAAAGTAAGTCAAATGTGACAAAAGCAAAAAACGCCCTGAAACAGCTCCGGGTTAAGAGTTATTAGTCTTGTTCAGGGTTTCCTTTGACTGACCTGGTACCAAGAGTAAGCTCTGTCCGCCGGGTTGATGAGGATGGTGATGATCTTGGCTTTGGGCAGGAGAGCTGCGGCCCTTTGAGCAGCCACCTCCGAGTCAAAGTAGTTGGCACTCTTCTCAAAGTAGTAGTCTGAACTAGTGTTGGAGGGCAGAGGGAAGTACTCCATGTACCTGGATAACACACAGCAAACACAAACATACAAAGTATTACAAGCAGCCGGAGTTGATCTGGTCAAACGTACTCTCCGTAGATAAGGATAGTTTCTCTGTGTGCTGTGTGGACGATCGGCCATGTGCAACAGTGTGTCACCTCGCACACAAACAACACAAACATCTAGCAGCAAGTAGAATGTTAGTATTTGGGCAGCCTGCTCAGATAAATATCAAGCCGGCCAAGAAAGTGTTGTTGTGCTCTTTGTGTTTTGATGCATGAAGCTTCTCATTGATGCAGGGTTCAAATCAATTAAACCTACAGGCACATTTAAAACACTGAATTACATATCTAACTAAATAGGTGTTCATTTTCGTTGCTTGGCTTGATCTTAGGGATTTATCTAATGAGTGTATCTGTTGTTCTGTTGGGACCTAGCCTCATTTGCATTTTGATTCTTGATTTAATTTGCATTTAACAGATCATGGAATGTAATGAGAAAGTAAGAACACGGCTTATTTGACAAATGCTTTTGACAATATTTTACCTTAATTTATACTAATTGATATGGAAAGGAAATATTTGAGATTCCTAAGTTTTACTCCCTCAAGTCACGACATGTCTGTGGTTGAAAAAAAACTTGTGTAGGAAAGAAATATAAAATTAACCGTCAATTTAGCAACCAAAACTTGGAAACAGTACACATAAAATCCTGACAAAACATGATTCCTAGAAATTAGATGCAATGTTAAATGTGGTTGGTAGATGCTGCCCAGCACAGCCCTGTTATAAAACACTGAGGAGAGTGTGTGTTGTTTCCTACCAGTCAATGCCTCTGTGGTAGTTGTGCCCGTTGAAGAACTGGATCTCCTCAAAGGTCTCCTTGCTTGGATAGTTACTGGTCAGGTCCGGGTGCATGCCAAGAAACAAGTAGAGAGCTGTCGTCCCTGAGAGGCGGGAAAAAGCCACGTAGAAAAGATGAAAAAAATAGCAAAAGGTTAAAGGGAGTGTGTATCCTGTAACACCCTGAAAACAAATCACAATCTCGTGCCATTCCCTTTGATTTTCAAAGACATATCAAAACTTAATTCAACCCACTTAGAACATGACTCAACTTCTGCTTTGAATTGAGTGATGAACTTCAGATCTAATCATTTACAACTCCTCCTGTAGGGGGTGCTGAAGCACTGTGTCTCACCTGTCTTCTGAGGCCCGATGACGAGCAGTTTGGGGAAGCGGTCACATGTTTTCTCTTTGGACCAGATGTCCTTGTGCCTTTTGTCCTCACAGGGATCCTGTAGCCACGAAAAGATAAACATTCCTTTGTTTTAGGTGTGGTTCTGACAGAATTCATACAAACAAATACATACATTTAACGAGACAAAATAACGCAAGTTTAGGTTCGTCTGGATCTAACAAAGGAGATGTATTAAGTAAAATATGTTCAGATGGGTAACAACAGAGCTCTCCATACATCAATAAATCATTGTATTACTCGTTGCTTAAGACATACACACCCTGTTTCTGCATATTGGACGCAGTGAGAAGCATTTAAGCTATTACTGCTTGACGTCATATTTTAAGGGATGCAATGTGTTTTGTACAATGCAGTTGTCTGCCTTACTTTTCTGTTATTGCATCATTCCATTACTGACATCTGTAAAAAATGACTACTATATGCTAATTTCACATGTCAAAAATCTTCCTCACCTGCCAGAGTGGATCCCTCTCGGAGGGGAACAGGCTGAAGTACTTCTGGGCCAGCTGGATGGGGGGCAGGGTCTGCATCTTCAGGTTGGTCCACGTCTGGAGGAACATCACCAGGCTCTTAAAGGTGTACAGGCCGAGCCGATCGTTCCCGTAGTTTGACAGATGGGTCATGAAGATACTAATCTGTGAATGGGAAGGAACACGCAGAGTAATATTTAGAAGGAGGAAAGTTAACTCAGTTTGGTTTAGGTGGTAGGAACTGTGTATATTATTTAAACACTGAATGTTAATGTCCCGTCCCTATCCTGTTACTGAACTGCTAATTTAGTGTTTGAAGTAATTTGCTGTTTGTTCAAGTCTCTTTCCTATATGTGAAATGTATTATGTTGTTTGTTGTTTTATTTGAAGTCTATTTTTTTGTATTTCATGTGAGACTGCCATTATGGCCAGGACTCAATAAGAATATCCTGTCAAAAATAAATAAATAAATAAATAAGCAGTAATGATATTTAGTTGGCGTTGAAACAGTTGATGAATGGCTTTGTCAACCGCCAAAATGTCAAACCTCACAGATCCTGTAATTACTTCAGAAACTAATCTCTTTAGTGCAAGTACACTGAACAAAAATATAAAGGCAACACTTTTGTTTTTGCTCCCATTTTTCATGAGATGAACTCAAAGATCTAAAACATTTTCTACATACACAAAATAACCATTTCTCTCAAATATTGTTCACAATCTGAAAAATCTGTGATAGGTGCAGCCACTTTTCTTTGCCGAGATAATCCATCCCACCTCACAGGTGTGGCCATATCAAGATGCGATTAGACAGGATGATTATGGCCACAGGTGCCTGGCCTTAGGCTGCCACAATAAAGGGCCACTCTGAAACGCTGCATTTTTGCTTTATGGGGCGGGCGGTTCTGGGGGGTCCGAAAACAGTCAGTATCTGCGTGTGGGAGGGTTAGCGATATGATTGTTCAGGGTTAGGTAATGTGTGAATCGACGTCGGGCCTGTGTTCGTCGTCCATACCATACGCCTCGGCCCATACCCTAACCACACCACCATGGGCACTCGATTCACAACACTTACCCTAACCCTAATCCTAACCCCCTCACACCAGATACTGACTTTGGTGTTCGACCCGCCCAGACCCCCCCAATAAAGCAAACTGCACGTTTCAGAGTGGCCCTTTTAATGTAGCCAGCCAAGGCACACCTGTGCAATAATCATGCTGTCTAAATCAGCATCTTGATATTTGCCACACCAGGTGAGGTGGGGATGATTATCTCCGGCAAAGGAGAAGTTGCTTGCACTATCACAGATTTTTTCAGATTTGTGAACAAAATTTGGAGAGAAGGTTATTTTGTTGTATATCAGAAAATGTTTTAGATCTTTGGTTCATCTCATGAAAAATGGGAGCAAAAACAAAAGTGTTGCGTTTATATTTTGGTTCAGTGTATAAACAAGAGGAAAATTTACAGCAATCAAAAACTGTTGCAGTCATATGAGCGCCTGGTTTCATGGTTTATGGAAATTCGTGGACTATCCTTCAAAAATGGGGCAGGTATCCCTTGAAAGCCACTGAAAAACAAGGATGGACATGCTTCCTTTCAGGCTTAAACATATTGCACCAACCTGTTTGTGGGAAGAAATGGATACATGGGAAAAAACATTAAAAAAAGGGTCAGCCTCAAAGAGGAATAGAACTACCAGGACTATACAGCATAAAACATATATGGTATTTCTTAAGTATTAAAGTTTTGGTGGGAATGCAACGTGGCCCAT